GCTTTCCAGGTATTCACGAATTCTTCCCTCATGTTATGACTGATTTGGGTGGAGAGCTTAGATTTTGAGGAAGATGAGGGGGTGAAGTTGTATTTGGTGAGAAGCTTTGAGATGTTGGTATACCAAGGAAGTCCCAACATGATTTGTTCGTGAAATGCAGCACAGAGTAGTTCGTTTTCAGTGTTTTCAAGGCGACTATAGTAATCTATTGCAAGTTTGCAGGCTTCAAAGAATAGAGGGTGGCGCCCGCTTTCGCCCCAGCAACCTACATTTGATGCTTTTGAATGTACAGACAAAGACCACTTGATAAACTTTAGGTGGAATTTTTCATAGTGGTCTTGTGCAATGTACTTCAAGGTATGCTGGGGGTTGGCTTTGTCATCTATTTTTGAAAGGTATCTCATGGTTTTTGAGTGGGGGCATAAGACTTGACAGCCATAAAGCAGGATTGGTTTTATTAAGGAGTCAAATAGAATATTAAGGGCACGGTGTGAGAGGGCATCCTTAACTATTTTTCCTTTGAGGCCATAGAGAGCACGGAGAGCCTTGGCCCTCAGCTCAGTATTTGCTGCTGTAAACGATCCATTTCTGTGGAATATTATGCCAAGATAGCAGTATTTATCGGTGTGCTGGATGGGCTGACCTCCCAATGTGAATGTTTCATAGGACTGCTTTCGTTTGGGAGGGCTGAATATTACAATCTTAGTTTTCTTAATATTTACTTCAAGGCCCATGGAGTTACAGAAATCAAATAGAATGTTGATATTGACTTGCAAGGCCTTGGGACTTAGAGCAAGAAGGACAAGATCGTCAGCCCACAGCAGATGTGATATCAGAACGTCAGCAAGAACTGGATAGTCACCAACAGATTTCAGGAGAGATGAAAAGTCATTAATGTAGATTTTAAAGAGGTCTGGCGATAGGGGGTGTCCTTGCTCCGTTCCTTTGCCAATATCAATTTTAGGCGACAAGAGTTTGGAAATTTTTATATGGGCAATAGAGTTTTTGTACATATCACTTAGGCAGTTGAAGAAGTTACCGGTTATTCCAAGGCATGTAATTTTGTGCAGAAGGAGGTCCCTACATACAGTGTCAAAGGCCTTTCTTAGATCAACAAAGCATGCATAAAGACGAGCCTTTTTAGCTTTTGTGTATTTGTCAATTACTGTCTTGAGGGTGAAAACGTGATTGTTAGTTTGGGCACCTTTCGAAAATCCAAGCTGTTCTTTTGGGTCAGGACAGTAGAGCTTTTTGAAGTGTAACAGACGTTCAAGTAAGATGCTAGAGAACAGCTTACCCATAGAACTGCCAACTGCTATTGCTCTGTAATTGTCTGGGCTGAAGGGGTTGCCTGATTTATAGATAGGAGTGATAATACTGGTATGCCATGGATAGTAGCCTGAGACTAGAGAGTGGTTGAATGTTTTGAGGATGACTTGGAAACAAAGCGGAGTTAGGCTCTGAAGCATCTCATATATACGCTACAAACTCAATCAAAACTGTAAAAGTTGATCATATTCCAACTACTATACTAAACCACCTTTAGATTAGTGAGCCAGGTTCAATGTTAGACCGGACGAAGCATTTACATCATGAGCCGGGTTCACTGTTAGAACGGACGAAAATATGGCTACATCTCAACAATGGAAAATACTGCAGCGCAGAAGTGCTATTACAGTTAAATTTTGTTACCTGAACTCGACTAAACAGTTTTAATATTATAACATATACTATAATATTATGAAAGATATTTTGTGTCAAATAGAAAATATTTTATCACTCTTACACACCAAAGATTGTTTTGTGTTTTTTAATTAATTTATTTTTGTTATTGCGCCGCGCATAAGTGCGTATTTGGTAACTGACCGTCGAAGCTACATTTTTATTTCATATTTAAAACAAATAATATTTGAAACAAAAATCAATAATAACAAATATTGTACGGGTATTATATTACTTGTTTACCTATCAACCTTTTAATGAATTGCAAAGCAACTTTTATTCACGATGTCAATCCTTCGCAGCTCGGTGAGGCACAGTGGTGCATCTCGCCGATCTACCGAAGTGGTTGCGAGAAGAATTATTTGATGCGCGGCGCGACCCAGTAGTGCATTGCGCTACAAAAAGCAACTTTATGCAATATGCCATGCATGTGATTATGCGCGCGGCGCGTCGAAGCAACAATATTCCCTAATTAGCGCTTTTTGCTAAATTTATTTCAGTATGATATGCAATTGTAATTTAATGTTTTCATGTTTCATTGTTGGTTGTCACCTCAACAACAAGTTGCAACATTAATTTACTTTTTTTTTGGCAAGTTGGTTCGAGATCACAGATTTAAAAATTATTCATCAATTACAACAAACTTGCTACATTTTGCAGTACATTTATTTGTTTTCCCTATCATATCTGAACCTCAAAGGAGTAGTTCTTTAAGAATTTCCGTTAAGTACAAACTACCTAATATCAAATTTTCTTGACGTGCTTTGTTTTATTAATCCTGATCAGTTCATGTCGGTCAATCCTATCAAAGGATATAATTAAAGTTCATACTGCTGTCTACGAAGTGTTACATTCTCCTGACGAGTTTAAATTTTGCGAAATCATGACCTTGTTTCCCCTACCTCTGGTTTGTTAGGGAGAGATGTCCCATGTCAGGGTAAGTCAGTCATTATACAATTCATTGCACAAGGGGCCAACACAGAGGTGAGTGACTTATGAAGAGAATGAGAATATGGCTACCTTGTTACCCCAGGCACAATGCAATTAGCTTTATCCCAAACAACTTGACTATTTGTGTAAACACAGATAGAGGATAATAGTCAACACCTTGTTAACGACTGAGCATCCCACAGCAGAGTCACTTGATTCACAATGTCAATCCTTCGCAGCTCGGCAAGGCCCAGTGTTGCATCTTGCTGATCTACTGTTGGTGGTTGCGAGAAACAGTATTTGATACGCGGCGCCGCCCAGTAGTGCATCGCACTACATGCAACAGAGTCACTTAATCTCCTAATATAAAATCCTCAGACACCAAGAGAGAGCCAATTAAGCAATGGCATAATTGAAGTTTCAGCCATATTACCGCAAATATTCTTTCTGATAAATCTAGGAAAACAACAAATTAGGAAAACAAATTTAAATTTTGGTATTTATTAATAACAATCAAAACATATCATATCATAAAAATAAAGATGCGCGTTGGTTGACTGCCTCAGTAAGGTGAATAATTTAAGCTTGAAGGTGCCCTGCGCATTTACAGAACCTTATGCGGCGATCACATATTCATGAGGACCTGTGAGCGCCAAATTTAATTTAAAGTTTCTAGAAATCATACATCACTACTAATACCTGATCCAATTAGAAGAAACCCAGTAGCATTTTATTTTCTCTAATGAGGGGTTCAGTTAAAACTAGAGACCACACACACATGACATAACTTATTACCAGTTTGATTTGGTTTGGTTTTGCAAAATAAAATCATCATTTGGTTTGATTCGGTTTCGGCAAAAATTCTTGATTTGCTCTTTGTCTACTAGGAACTTGCCGCTGTATTAACTATTATCATGGCCTTTCCATTAGTTGGGCTACAATAATTGATTAGAAAACTATGTTGCCTACGGAAACACACACAATCAATTCAAGTGTTTAACCTTTTGGAGGAGCTTCTGTCTACTAGAATTTCACCAGATGTATCACTAGACTTTCCCTTGAAGCCATGGCGACAAATTTAGTTTACAAGCAGTTGGAACAACTCTTAACAAATCCCGTTTGGTAATTTCATATTTCTTAGAGTAGAGAATTATGTGTAAGAAGAGGTCTATATCGTCCACTCACCAAGCTCTTTCATTTTCCTGTTATTAACTAGTGCTTATCACGGATCAAGTGATTTTTTAAAAAGTGACCAATGTTGTATAGTATTTTTTTAACAGCTCAGAAGTAGCTTAAAATCATTTAATAATATCATTGTGTGAGTTGCTGTGTAAATTTGATTCTGGTGCTGATTTTAATTTTAAAGAGATGACCACTTAGGTTTAAAAAAGGTGACTACTAAATGAAGTGACCACTGTGATCTGAAAGAGGTAACCACTTGAAAGAAGTGATTACTTTAAAGAGGTGACCAGAAGTTACGCCTCAAAAGATCTGACCAATTAAAAGAAGTTACCAATTAAAAGTAGTTGCCATTTTAAAAGAAGTGACCACTTGGTGTGATACGATTCTTAGTATCCTTTTCAGTATTCCTCTTAGTATTTGTTCAAGTATTTTTGTTGCATTCCTCCAATTATTTTTTGTACCATCCTTAAGATTCTTATTATTAGTCGTGTTGTGGTGCCAGAATTTATTCACCAAAAGAATGTGTCACATTTTTTCCCTCTTCAAAGCGTTTTACTCCTTTAAATCCTGCCTTAACAACCCTGCATGGCGTTTATCGTCACTGGTCTACTCGTTTTTAGGATCATAGGGGCCATAGTATGCCAGTAAAAGTAGTTATTAAATATGGAATTTAGAGTCTTTGAAGTTGCAACATAGCAATAGAGTATTTCGGTTACTGTAGTTAAATAGTTATAGATTGTTATTTTTTGAAGCAGTAAAACCATTTACCAGATACCAAGGCAGGGTTGTAAATTGTTTACAAAGATCACGATCTTTACTAGCTCGAGACTTTGAGATTTACCACGATTAAATAATTCTGAATCAGGATGCATTCATATTTTAATTCTCGCTTTTTCTTTTATTGCAATTAACAGCCTCTTCGCTAGAGATTTAATTCGACTATAATTTAATTTATACAGAAGATTTGATTGAACTAAGAGACCTTGTCTAGAACTGCATCGTTTGAAGAAATCTTTATTAGTTGTATTTCCAGCAATTTTATGTTTAAGATTATAAATTATTTGCCACTCAAGTTTTTTGTCGTGAATTCATCAGATCTTCAGGATTTTTATACTTAACAACTTGAGATTTGGACATGGTTGGAAAATAACAATTTACTCTCAATAAGGTATGGCTGGCTCCATCACAACTATTCTACTCCTACAAATAACCTTATCTACAGTTTCTGCCACCCCTCTATATATTGAAACAGACGAAGACTTGATCATCGGGACTGACACAGCTCCCCTCCAAGTAAGATATAATCATAAAAAATTATTATGCACTCTCAGCCTTAAAGATTCCCAAAACTTTCAACTTGAAAAATTATTGATAATGATCTTTCCGATTCCAAATCACACTTAAAGCTCTTGATTCGCACAAGCTTTTTTAAATCACGCTTTTTTCAAAGATTTCTTCTAATTAACACAACAAATACCAATGATCCCTCCACCATGCAGATTCCAGAAACAGCATATATTAACCCTTTTAGGAGACGATCAATAGTCTTTTCCGAATCTGAAAACCAGGTAAGGAAATAATTGGGATTGATCCTGGTCCGTAGTACCTCTGAAATTCAGACTTCTCCCGCCCTTGATCCAATCATTTAAACACTGATACAGTTTAAAATATCACTTGACTCTGACTTTATTATTTTTTAACGATGCTAAACTTGTTATAGTTAGACGATAAAATTACGCAGGTTGTGTATGAGGAGGCGTTACAGAACAATGATTCTGACGAATATATTGAAGAAGATGACGATGGCTGGGAGTCGTAAGTCTTTTGTTCATTCAAGAGAGTTCCCGATAAAAATTGTCGGACGACCTAATTTTTGATGGGGTTGTTTTTATTTACACAACAGAGTTAAGTGTACACGGTGTAGTGTACAGGGTATCTAGAAGTAGAAATCTGAAGTCCTAGCTGATAGTTTTTCCTGATTTTGATCAACCTATTAGCACATTAACTTCTTAAATAATTCGGCCATATTTTCAGAGAGGATGACATGTCTCTGCAGAAAATAGAGGAGATGCACAAGAACCGCTCTAATACAACTATAAGTGACTATAGAGACGACGGTATAAGACGGTGTCATGAGTATATTAATAAGTCTAATAATGCTTATTCTATTGAAGGTACGTGTCCTAGTATTATTTCTGTCCTAATAAATAATTACGTAATATTATTAATGGATGAGTAGGATTTTAATTCTTGCGTTTGATTGGTAGCTTATTTGCTTGCTGATATCGGTTTTAATTAATATATTCGGTGCAAAGAGAAATACTCTTCTCTCCCGCCTTCTGCCTCAGTCCCTCGCCGCCATTTCTAAGGGATATAAATTATACTCCGTTCAATCGCATCTTTATAAAGCGGAATTTCTGTCAAAAAATTACACGTACAGTGGGCCCTGTAAATCTTGCAGACAGTAAACTATTCCCGTACCTCAGCGTTACACTCTCACAATATCTATATTTACATGTGATAACTAAGTTACAAGACCTAATAAAACCTGTATTTCATTACCGTTGTATAATCTTCCATCGACATTATAGGATGTTTCTATTTAGTTTCTGCTATATGTACTAGGTGATTCTCCTCACGCCCGTGCTAAAGTAAGTGCAGACAAACAAAATAAAGCAGAAAACATTCCGATTGATGTGTCTGAGGAAATTCTCTACGATTAGGCATCCAGTCTGCTATGCAGATCATACTTTAGGTCATCCTCAATATCCTACTTTTGGTTCTTGGGTCACCCTCAATATTGTTATTATTGGTTCTTGGGTCACCCCCAACATTGGTTTTAGAAATAATGGCGGGGATGTGAACCCCACCAGTATCCACATTTATTGATGTTTTATTTTCTCATTTGGTGTAAGGGTCTAGGAATGTGCATTTTGCACGACTGACTTAATTACCATGGTCAAGTTAATATTAAACTAATTTTGTCTCCAACTCCCTAGCTGTAATACAATATAAAAGTAAAATGTTCCTAAATTTGTTCACTGTGAGCAAAGAGGTGCTCCTAAATTTGTCAAGTGTTTCATGGTAGAACTGTTTCTTCATCACGGAAATATAGTCTACATTAAATTTTAACGGTCAGAGAAATGGAAACATTTGTAAAATTAGGAACTGTAGATATAACGTATTTTCGTTTATTGTTTCCAACCATTGGAATCGTTCAGTATTCGATCAGGCCCAAACGAAAATGAAGTAAGAATTTAAAATGAGACTTAAGGCGTCTTCACAAAGTGTTCAACTTACTTCCAGATATTTGATCCTAAAGTTGTGGATTTTCTCATCTATGAAATAACATCCATTTATCTGATATTTATGTCACCGGTGAGTGGTGGTGTTTATAACATATAACTGCAATCTTGATGATATCTCCGACTTCATTACCTGATCTTCGACTTAATGTCTATCCGTAATCAAGAATTCAAAATATTTAAATCCATGAAGCTTATACTCACCAATCCCTACAGAAATCCATAAATACCTCCAAGTAATAAAAGTAATTGGGGTGTTGATACAGGGATCAGTTAAAATGGTCTAATCACCGGTGATAGAATCCCAAATACCTGAAAACTATTCCAAATACCTGAAAACTATTCCAAATACCTGAAAACTATTCCAAATACCTGAAAACTATTCCAAATACCTACTAACGACTCATACGCGTCAAAATGGTGGCTAATCATCAAGAATTAGCCGTGAACACTGCACCCGAGAACATCTATCTTTTTACTTGCCTACATTCTTTTTGAAAGCCTGGAATGCTTTACCTACCTCAAGGTAGTACCGTATCTAGAGAATCTAGCAACGAACACCGCCCTTATCAATATTCTTGTCGTGCATTAGGTATTTACAATAGGTCATACCAAGTCAAGACTTGTTCAATTTATAGGGCATTATTTAGAAAAACGTTTTGCCTACATTGGATTGAATGTAAAAACAATAAGCCTATATAGGATAGAATATCGAGAAAAAAACACTAAACGCCATCTACAATACCTACATGTTTTTTATTGGATACTCAATTTAGATATTCTTCTCTGACATTATTTGAATGGATGAGAGTTACTCTGAGAGTTACTCTACTACTAAGTCTAAGCGTTGGACACTTCACAGCTGATTAAATATAAAATATTTGTTATTCAGTGCAGACTTAAAATAATTAGAGAATATGCCGTCAAACCCCTTGCATAGATACGTACCTAGGGAGTGGGGCCATGACTCATATTGTGTTGACAATTGAGAATAATGTTCATATCTGGAAGACTGTGAGGGTCAATAACCCTTATATACAGTAAAACACTATTAACAATCTCAAATACTACAATCAGGAATGATAACATAAAACCGAACTGAAAACGAATGTTGCATAGAATTGAGAGTAATTAGGGCTCCAGAATTAATCAAAACGTGGTAATTGTCCTTGACTCCTTTTCCACGTGCAAGTCGGGTACTGGTCGAGTCTGGGAAGCCAGCTGCACAGAATAATAAGGAATTTACCTAATATCAAACACCTGCACGCTCTAGAGTCTTTTTGTTGGACTCAAGCTTCAGTAGTGTAAAAAGAGCACGGTTCGCAGATAGCGTTCATCACTTTACGTACGTATTTTTAACGTACATGTTCATTTCCTCGTTCCTGGTCATGTAAACTATCGGATTACTGGCTGAATTTATTGTAATCACGATATACGTCATGATGCCCATCAACTTCACCGTCCCTGGTTCTTCCTCGTGTGAAATAAAATATACCAGCATCGACACCCAGGACAGATTGAACGTAACGAACAGCAGACCCAGTATTAGAACCATCTTTGTGGCCTTCTTATTCGTGTCATATCTCTCTCCCACCCCTGCAGGCCTCGTCATACTTAAAGCTTTAATAGAATAGATTGAACAGAAAAGAACAAATATTACCATTAAGCTGACATTAATGAGGGAAACAAACAAAGGTTTCGATTTTCCAAAGAAGTAATCAGTCACAGCAGGAATGAACATGACCCACTTTCCTGTGATCATGAAGACTGCTACTAACACAGCTGAAATGTAAACTTTAGGGTTGCTTATCTGGTAAAGGGGCCAGTTGATGGCAATGCATCTCAGAGCACAGAGAAAACATGTAGCTATTCCAGAAAGTTCGACCAGCATTTCAAAGAAGATCAAAAACACAATTTCCCTTTCAACTTCTTCCCCTTCCTTTTCCGCTTCTTTCCCTATCATGTTAGGTTGGGACATGACTGTCACGCCCACAACTGAAGAAATGCATATTATGATGTCCAAAAGGTTGAGAAGAATCAAAAATTTGTCTCCAAGGTTTCTGTTTTTGCGTCTCAAGAAGAAGTTTATTGATATTTGATACAGCGTTTGTGATTATCCCCAAGCTTGCAATTGTAACAGAAACTGGCATCCCGAGTTTGTCTTCTTTATACCCGGCATCAGTAGTCATTGGTAAGAGAAGAGATTCAAACTAGCAACAAATCTAAAATCGTTCGATCAGAAATAATGACAGGAGGCTGAGGCTTCTTGTTAATTACCCGTTAATAAGTTGCAGTAATAACCTTAGGACCATTAAAAATTATCCTCGTTCCATTTTGCACGTGCACTGGTGGTAGATGGCAGCTGCAGATAATTATTATTGCCTCCAGCTATGATTTGGATTCCATGACGTCAGGGTGTGGCTGAATTATAAGAACATGGCAGCTGTGGAAGCTTTTACTGCCTTGAACAGAACTCTCTCATTTACCGCGCCCTGATTTACCGCTAACCCCGATGGCCGATATATATACCGCGGCCATCTCCTTTCCAAATAGGGCTTAACATGCATAATGTAAAAAGAGAAAACCCCGAATCTTACTATATATAAAGCGAGAAGATATACATATATCCGTACCATTTTATTGACACCACGGCAACTTAAACACGATTTTCCGCAAAAACCGTAAAAGATAGAAACTGTAAAAAACTGAAACCTTTTTTATTGGGTCAAATGTCCTAATGGCCTTCAAATCAGCATGAAAAAATAAAAAATTTGCCAAGAAATAAAAATTTTATTGCTCAAAATTTGGACCCCCAAGTGGTGTCATTTTGTTCATTAATGACATGAAGCTGTGCATCACAGGATGTGTCATTAGATTCTTTGCTGACGATACACGGATTTTGAGGCACATCTATACACTTGAAGATGCAAGTACACTGCAAAATGATCTCAACTCTGTCATCGACTGGGCAAGATGCAATAACATGTCATTGCATGAGGATAAATTTGAGATACTCGTGCACAAACACTGTCCCCGAAACAGCTTGCAAGACCTCCCGTTTGCCATCCTGACGCAAACTTATCAAGTTTCGCATGGTAACATAATGTACCCTACGGATGCAGTCAAAGACCTGGGGGTTTTGATCTCGGCGGACTTGTCTTGGAGCTCCCATGTTACTATGATAGCAGATCGTGCCCGTAAAGTTGCCTCTTGGGTTCTGAGCGCTTTTAGATCGAGAAACAAGATCACTATGCTGACCCTCTACAAGTCATTAGTCAGAAGCCATCTCGAGTACTGTTGTCCCCTCTGGAATTCAACTAAGCAAGCTGATATCGCTGAGCTAGAGGGAGTACAACGTACATTTACGTCCAAAATACATGGTGTGCAACATCTGAACTATTGGCAGAGACTGAAGGCCTTAAAATTGATGTCACTTCAACGGAGGAGAGAACGTTACACTATCATTCATATGTGGAAGATCCTACACAAGAAGTGTCCTAATGATGTAAACGTTCAGTTTACAGATACACTCCGTTATGGCCAGAAAGCAGTAGTCCCTAGCTTGTCAACGTCCAGTAGCCAAAGGAATCAATCGATCTTTGACAGCTCATTTGTAGTGATGGGGCCTCGATTGTGGAACATCATTCCCGCAAACCTGCACCTTATCGAGGACCCCCTACGCTTCAAGTCATTGTTGACGGAGTTTGTTACATCTATTCCGGACGAACCTCCTGTTACTGGATATTGTTGCCAGAACGGGAATTCGTTATTGAACTGGAGCGCAGAAAAGACAGCAACTTCGCTGCACGGGTGGTCAGCCGTTCTGATGACCCGATAGAGGATCTATGAAGCAACCCCAAGTAACCCAAGTAAGTAATCAAATAGGTAATAATTTATTTAGTCTCTTGAGTCTTGACATTACTCAAGAGTTAGACGGGTTCCTGCTAGTCATTGTAAAGTCTACGGACAAGATATAGTCAATGTACAGTACTCATATTTTAACATTCAATACAACTGAATCAAGAAATATGTGATGCTAATGAAGATGGGATAATAATCCCGGGTTCTTCCAAAAATGCAAACTTATCAGCCTCGTCAGGTATTGTTAAATCTAACCTTAAAAAGCACTTGCTATCCCTCCAAAATTGAGATGACCCTAATACATGGTAACTAATCTATATTATATCTCAAATTCAGAATTCTACATCCGGTTCGGCTCTGCACACATGATATCTCTCTCTGCCATGAAACATGGCTAACCTTTTAAACTATGATTTAAAACCTAAACCTAAACTAAAACTCAACTGGGCTCTCCTGTGTCACCAAACTAGACCAATAAGCAATTTTAGATTATTATTTTTTTCTATATTTGTATAATAAGTATATATTGACGTAGTGGATGGTTGAGGGGGTTTCAAGCACAGGTCACTCTCAAATCCTAAAGATAAGCAGTGGCCTATGGCACTTGAAACCTCTTCAAACCTCCCCTGATTTATTTATCATTGATATTGTTTGATTGTGCCGTAAAAATATTTGTTTTATTAATATTTGTTTTATTAATATTTGGTTTATTAAGAAACGTTACCAGGAATTCGACATGTTAAAATCAAATTCCTTGACCATACCAACTATGTATCTCTTCATATCTCAGATGCTTCATGAATCACATTCAGTGTACCGCCGCTTACAGTTACATTATCACTTCACTTTTGGTAAAAATTAATACCATAAAATCGTTTTCCATTCTCTGCTCAAAAAGCCACACATTTTGATCAGAGTGCTGTCACAACACTCCAATTGGGCTTAACTCGTTGCAACCAGTCGAGTACTTTGGGCCAGGAGGAGAGGGAGAGCGAGGAGGCATCTTCCAGGATTAAAGCAACAGCACTGTCTCAGAACCAGGCCACGCTTCCCAGCAAGTAGTCTCTACTTGTGAATATCTGAGGGATCAAAGTTAGAAACTTGTAAAGCTAGGGGGAATATCTAAACTTTAGATCTGAGGGATCAAAGTTAGAAACTTGTAAAGCTATTGGGGTTTTCGCTGTGAAGTCTAGAAAACTTAGCGTTGATAAATATTGTAACTTTTAACTTACTTTGTCCAACATATCAAAGTAGAGAGAAACACTATCAAGAGACGACTTGACCAGCGTATTAAGTCACAGGCCACCCCCACATAAACAATAACGCACTTATTCTGCGGCAAATATTAATTTATTAATTTACTCTATAACGGAAATAACGCTCTATTAATTTCAGGATTATTAACAGATGAAGAACAAACTGCAGGGGTAAGTAAACGGCTTATTTTAATTAGACGGCTTACTTTATGATATAAGGCACGTTTAGTACACGTGCCTTAATCCTTAAAACTATGGGCCATATGGGGCCACAAATATATATGTATGTGAATTTTTCCTGTTTGTGTTATTGGAAATACACATACAGGAAAAAAAGGAACAGTCTTGTGACTAATGTTTTACAAATGAATTAAAGAATAAGTTTCATTTATTAATAATGGAGCGTCTTTTTATTATATATATTAATGAATAACAGTTATTTTTATTAATAAGTGACAGTTATTTATATTCATGAATAATAGTTATTTATTATATGAACGTCCCTTTATTATAAATTAATTTTTATTTAATTCGTTCGCAAAACATTAGTTCCAATATAAGGGATGCCTTTTTGTCTAGAATCCTAAATTCTGATTTCAGAGATTTATACTAACCAAGATTTCCTGACTATCATACTATTTTCTCACGTAAATTTATAAGCAGGTGCTGAGTAATTCAGTAAACTATTGTCCGGTTCCTTCGAAAATTAACATAATCATATTAAATTCTTTAATTGTACTCAACATAAAGAGCTTACATTTATTAAAATATGCTTGACTCCGTCGCTCAGCATATCCGTTTAATATTATAAACAGCATCTAAATTGAACACAAATGATGATGACGACATATGGGAATCCAATAAGATCGCATGTATAATTTACATGGCTAAATGTACAATAATTTAGATCAGAACCAGAAATATAATCATACACCACTCATCATACACCACTCTATCTCTTCATCGAGAACATTTTCAAGACTTCATTGTTCGTCATCTAAAGCGTAGATGTACAGAACATACCTATGCTTTAATGTTAAGCTGTTATCATGTGATACACACGTGACATAGACACTCCCATCTTTTAACAGGAGGCCGTCACTTTATGTAATGCTGGGTTAATTAATGTTTTAAAGTTCTCTTTATATAAACGGAGAATTTATATTTATTGGTGGCACAACAAGGTCCAGATGAAAACTTAAATCGGTTGTAACTTTGGAATAGTAAGGTTTACTGACTTGGTAAAAATGGCACGCTTATCTTTTTCTAGTTTACACTTTACACTGCATTCCTTGCAATCTGTCCGTCCTATTTGAAACTCTTGACTAATTGACGGCTGGCGGCATGTGTCGCTGATGACATACCGACATATACCATGAGCGTGCGGAGCATGTACCGACACGGTACCACTTTGGTACCCACTTGGTGCCCACACCTCCCAAACCATTGTACCGTGTCTGGTTTGTGTCAGTCAGCAGTCACAGTTTGTGTCAGTCAGCACATGTCCACCCACCAGGCCACCAGACACAATCACTCCCACTTGGAGTCATATTCGTCACGGAATGTCAGTGAAATGTCATCTTCGTCACGGAATGTGAGTTAAAGTGTTCTTGAAGTGCTCCAAAATCCTCGCTGAGTTGGAGGTTTGTCTGACATTTCGTGTCCGAGACACATTGTCATTACTGCTGACTTTAGAACAGAGAGTTGGGAACAATGAGGATAATTCAATGCGAATGTCATGCTGTGATTGTAAATTTAATGGTATACACTATACTATAATAGATATTGTGCAGCCAGGATTCTTTGGGTTCAACTCAGGCGGTGACAAGTAAAGAAGGTTGGGGGAGGCTAGGCTGGGGAAATTTTTGCAGGGTCTGGGAAGTGGGAAGCCTTAGAAAGTGGCGAAAAAATGGCATTTTTGTAAATTATCACCACACACTTCACAGTTCACTTTTGAGACTGCACGAGTGAGCAGTATTTAAAAAATCATACTACTGAGTACTGATAGATTCTCGATCGCGATTAATTATTATCTAGTAAATGTAATCATGTGATGGTCAGGAAATCTATATGTGATTTAGAGGCCTTAATAACTATTTTATCTATCTCTAGGTCATTTTGAAACCGTTTTGAGGCTATTTTTAACCATTTTTCCTCTCTTCAGGTGTATCTCTGTAAGTTTGGGTATCTAGAAGATGGTGGGGACTTGGTGGACGCCATCAAGGAGTTTCAGAGATTCGTAAAATTCAAGCCTACAGGTAATTGTCTTTTGACTTTTAAATCCTTCATTTCTAAGCCATTGGAAACTTTTGCCACGTTTTTGGTGTGACTTTTGTTTTTACGAATCCATACAATTTCCACAATCCTGATATGTAAAAATGCGATCATTTTCGTTGTGGTATGTTCGTTAACGTCTGTTAGTTTTTTTGCAAGATTGAAGTCAGACACAACACCAAACCGATGTTGTATAAAACTTTTAGGTTTTTTAAATCGGACAGGCTTTTTCGGTATCTTTGATGATTCGTTTGTATTTATTTTTGTCTGTTCTTATCAGAGACAAACCTTCTCAGCTGTAGAAGTCAGTCTACAAAAACGTAGACAGATGGTTTAATTCGACCTTAGCTTCTCTTTCTTCGCAAATATTTACCAGAAACCAACCTTCCCAGTTTTATTAGTGGTATATTTTTGTCGGTGTCTTTGTCCGACAATCTGTCTGTCAATATGTCTGTGTCCTGGTTAGAAGACTCGTGGAGACGTTTGAACTGAAATGAAACTATTCATATTCCACCAACAAGTTCTTATACCCGAAACAGCTGTAACTCATCGCCGGTCGCTGGATACATATCGAGATACTCACTGCAGCTTGTAGGTGTACCTCAATAATACAGCCTGTCATATATCTAACTTTCATGTCGGGTGCAGTGCATTTGTGGGTCTTTGTTCCGAGATACGTATCAGATATCTGGGGTTTAACAGATCAGGTCATACTGACAGCGTCAGTTTTTATACAAACAAAGCAGAAAAGTCACGTACGATGCAACCAGCCACCACCTGTTAAGTGTTTTAAAAATAGAAATAGGTCGGGTACTGATGTTTGAACTCGACCGCAGCACCTACCTGATTTTAAACTGGAACGGCAGACTTAAACAGGGTGTATAAAGTCGTATTATAAAAAGCGTTGTAGAACTTTCTGCAGAATTCTCCCTATGTAGTGTTTACAGTCCTCGGTTTTAAAACTTTTAATTGTACTGCACTTTTCAGCCGTGTATTAACTTAGTTTTTACCTGCAGGGGTATTAGACGATAAGACGTTAGCGCTAATGAAGCTACCGAGGTGTGGGGACAGCGACAAGAGGTAATTAAAACAATTAATTAATTGAGTAATTAAAACAATTAATTAATTGAGTAATTGAACAACCGACAATGTCTTAAGTTAGGATTATGAGAGTGAAGACTCTTAACTCTCATTATCATTTATACTTTCAACAACAGCTGAACTTACAACATCGTATTAGCTTTCATCATCTTCTCATCTGTCAACATCGTATTAACTTTCATCATCTTCTCATCTGTCAACATCATCTTAACTTTCAACATAATCTTAGGTGTCAACATTATCCCAAATCTCAACAGTACCCTGAATTTCTATATCAAGCTAATTTCTAACTTTCGCCCGATCAAAATGTCAACATTCATTTATCTAAAGTCTGACTTCTAGGTGCCTTTATGTTTTTAACTTTCATATAATTACTTATGTAATTCAGTATTGTAAGCACATAAAAAACGTGAAAGGTTAAGCTCTGAACCTGAAATTTCATTATCTCTACCAAAATTGTGTGCAAAAATTACAGAACTGGCCATTTTTCTTATTTTACGCGTTTTCCGACCCGATCTTAACCACCAAAAAGTTATGAGTCATGAAGAATCATTGGACCCTCTGTGAACTTCGTTGTCTACTGAATCATAGATACTTTTAAAACTTTTAACACCATTCCAATCAGTCACGCTTTGTCTTTGTTAAAACTAAGGCCACTCCATTGCTTTTTACCCTAAGATTTTGCTGGTTTTTCTTTGTAAAAGGAATAATCTGAGTGCCTGCTCAACCTCAACTTGTGCAGAAGATCTAGACCGCGAAAATATGACAAATTTATATGAAATGGATTGAATTAAGAAATAAGTACAATAAGGGTTGCCCCTATTTCCTGCAGTGCAGCTGACGCCGCATATAAAGGTCCCATAACTCAAACCCCAGTTTTCAACTCGGTTAAACTACAGTTTAATATAGTCGTCTCTCTCTATCTCTCTCTCTAACTCTCCAGCTCTCTCCAGCTCTCTCCAGCTCTCTCCAGCTCTATCCAGCTCTCTCCACGTACAAATATGTCTTGCTAGAAATTATCACTTCACTCTTTAAAAAGCCCGCACTATTTACTTCGTCTAGTTTACTCAGAACCCCAATAAAAAGGCACCCTTCTTCAAGCTGTGAGGAACGGTTCGAATACTGCACTTCCTGCAACCCATCCAAATACCCCAAATACCCCAAATATTCCTAATATTCCTCATAATCCTCATATTAGTCTATCAATTATCAGAACAACAAGTCTCTGTCCTAGACTCACGACCACCTCCAACAGGGGTGTTTACTACTGGTCCTCTCTAGGAAGTCATGTTAAACTGTGGGAGGTCTATTAGGGTCTGGAGGGGTAGGTGGGGTAGGTGCGTCACGGGGGGAGCTGGTGCACACTTGCACGTGCAGATGTAGTGTCTAGTGCACGTGCGCGGGGCTACTTCAGGGAATGTTCTGATGTATTGTCAGATTATTGGTAATTAATTAATTAAGTGATTACTGATTGTAACGGCTGATCGGCTGATTGTCACCTTGCTGTGATAAGTATTGTACTAAAAGTAAGTTGTAACTAGAACTCGATGGATAAAAGAATTTCTCTGGGTAGGTTACAAACATTTTTACAGAAAAACAAGCCCCAGGTTTATTGAAGCTTGCGCACGTGATTTTTTCCTTTTCACCCTTTTGAAAAAAGGCAATAGTGAAAGGTTACGAATGGACGTTTTTGCAGAAAAACGTGGATTTTGGGGATTGCAGTAGGTGGGTCAAATATATGTCGTGTTGCTTCCGTTCGTTACCATGTCAACTTGCCGCGCGCACGCGCGCGAGGATTGCTTGCGGAGATGTGGTGTTTAGCTAGTCTGTGGTCAATGAATGCGCGGCGCACGAGCGTATTTTAAAGTATACTAGTAATGTATAATATTTTGTAATAAGCCCAACTTGAACGTGGCACGCGTAGTGTATTGATGTTTCAATATTATTATTATAGCTGATTAGAGCTTATATTAATAGTTATAGTGAAATGGAAATCTAGCGTCCGCCAAGACGAAACAACGGGCGCAATTCTTGTTGGAGATAGTAGGCTGATCTTTCCTCATATTTTTTTGAGAATTGAAATTCATGGCAACTATTTCAAAATAGTTTTCCCAAAAAAGGATTTTAAATTGGCGTATTTTTTCACATAGTGAAGTCAACAAATTTCTCTTTATCTTCCAATAAATGTCGCCCTCGACTTTAATCAACCTTTTGTTCCCCCATGATCATTCGCAAAAACCCGTACTTGAGAAAGCTGGTCCAAAAAGCTTTCTGAAGCGATTATCTGATTTTCTGGTCTGACACTCCCGCAGAATGACTGATTTATCAGGTCTGCACGTCAATATCATGTCATTATCCAATCTGAACACTCAAGTGATGTGTAATGAACACTCAAGTGATGTGTAATGAACACTCAAGTGATGTGTAATGAACAGTGAGGAGAGAGATAATGAACACTTAAGAGAGATAATGAACCAGCAGATGTGAGATCGGTTCATGTTTATTATACCATTTGGTGAGAGGCTTTTGGGCAGTTTAGACAGTTTTAGAAAGTTTTAACGACAGTTATTGATTAGCTGTTGCGTTATAATACAGTAATGAGTTACAAACTACCGTTCAGAGAACACAGCGTGGCAGTTACTTGGTAGTTGAGTGGAAGTGTCTTAATCTTTACTATTTAGTGGTAACTGTGAGAATTTGTACAGAATCGCGTGAAATGAGCCATAAATTGTGTGCAATGAGTAATGAGTCGTGTAAAATGAGACTGAAATAGTTTTAATGTGAAAACACCAATTAATGGATGAACATCTAATATTATCTATATTCTGTACACTATGGAGTTGCTACGAGCTGTTTACACAGTTTACAGCACTTTCAAGAAATAATTTGAGTATTTTTAGTTACGCTAGATGATGTATGAATAACCTTCTCCTAATTTTTATAACAAAAGGACTTGTAGTCTAATCTAGGCACATAATCGGCTCCAAACCTGCAATTCTCTTCTGAGACTTTGCACCTTCCCTAAAGTTTGAATTACCGAAAAACGCTTGGAGCAATATTTTTGCATTTATACATTTGTGCATTTATAACCTTCTCCTAAGTTCTAAGAAAAAGAATCGGTTATCAGGCTAATCTAGGGGGGGGAGGGGGGTCATGAGTACCCCCCCCCCCCCATTCCCTAATCTGGATAACTGTGGGAGTCTTAAATGTACAGTGAGAATTTCTAAAATATAAAATTTCAAATCCTAATTGACAAATCAGCCTCTCATCTTCACACTGACACACTATATACTCCATTGATTACAGTAAATGTTCATTGTCAAACCCTGACAAATAGTATTCAGACTCCAATATGGTACATTTCCGGCGACGATTATTCGCCCCTCCTCCCTCATACAAACTGAAATCAGACTGAAATGTACCACAACAAATAAGGTGTGATCTGACGACAATGAGCACCGAGAGGAAGTTAGGACTATGAGGATATGGGCTCATTCACCTCATCAATCAACAAGCTAGATTTGAGAATTGCCGCCTGAGGTTGAAGTTTCCGGGACATTACGAGTAGTCGTACCAGGGATATTACTATATCCACTATGTCTGCATAATATACCGGAAATTAACATTTTATTTGTCACGGCTTATTTAGGATGATTCACATTGTGGTTATTGGCTATTGATATTACCTACTTCTACCTACCTATTGCTAATAGTAATAACCACTCATATCGCTCTCAATCAATGCTTCCACTGGAATCAATATTAGGACGCAGTGAAACTATCGGACTGTATGGAGGTATGGGGACTTGCCACCTCATGGCAACAATAAAATATATTGACTCTGTTACCTTGTTTCTCGTCAATATGGCCCTCTTTATAATATGGTTATTTCTGTTTAAAAGTCTGAATAGAAGGGACAAATAGAATTAGAGATAAGAACGAGCAGGAGCAGGAACTTGGCACTGCTACAATTTGAACTGTTGTTGTTCTTCAGGGTCTCATTCCGAGAATATATAAACCCTTAAAACTACCACTTTCCCTTAAAGCGCTTTTAACTACCGTTCACCGAACCTTGACTGCGGCTTTGTTAACAAGGTTTGGCCGGTAGAGGGTCCGCAGTAGTCCCATTACCTTAGTATTGCTGTACAACTACTACAAAACCTCAAATCCAGCAAGTTTCTGTGTACGCTCTGGCTAGAAGTGGGTTGCAACAGTTGAAATATATCCCCTAAAACGCTTGCCGTAACCCTTGGTTACGCTGTCATGGTTTCTGAAGGGCATGAACAGTCAACCTGTTACACACATCACATTGCAACAAGTTACAATTAATTACGCTACACCCAGTTTCAGCTTATGTCCTTATGTTCTTGCTGTTGTCATTATCCGGGCCTCTACACGCGGTAAGAATGGGTTTAGCGTGTAAGAATAATAGTAAATCAAATTCTTTTATTGTAGTTAATTATGTTAATAAATTTGTCGAGTATATTGATTTTCGAAAGATATTTAAAATGGAACAAGTTACTAAAGCTGCACCATTCAAGTCAAAGTATCATCAGCAACCTACATTGTCCTACAAATACCCTCCAACAATCAGATCTAAAGTACTTAACTACAAAAAAGTATATAATGAAGCTAACATTGACTCAGAAACATTGAAATGTAATTGTGCATCAAGTCGTTATACAGACCCTACTCATAAACATGTCATTACAGGAGAGCTATCAATGATCAGTAATGATAAACTTCGTAATCTCCTAATGAAGGGATTAAATTATAGAGACCAAGCTAAACCATGTACTGAAAAAGCTTTAAAATCAGTAAAGACGGCACTCAAAAGCTATTGCGATAAATTGTCTAATTTATGGCATAAACCTATAGAAGAGTTTCAAGAGTGGAAAACACTAATCATAGAGCAAGTGAAAATTCAACTGCAAGGAGCTAAACCATATCCCTATTATTCAGTATTATCAGATGTTGAA